TGTCATTTAATTTTTCTTGATCCTTCCTGAGGCACTGATTGCAGATCCAAATAAAATTAAATCCTTAAGCATGTCAGACATTTCTCTATTTACATTGACGTGGCTTCTTGGTCCAACCTATTATGTGATCTTTATAAATATGATTACATAAAAATATAATCCCCCTAAGACATAGACATTAATTAAAACAAAAAGTTCCATTTTTCAAGTAAACAAACAAAACCTTTTACAGTTGAAATAATTTGTAATTTTCTGCTTTAAACAATTTTATTTCTCATTCTTATATTTTTTCTCTCCTATATATATATTTTTTTGTGTACTTTCTAGTTTTTTTCTTTTAAACATTAAAGTCTACAAACCTACCTCTGTGTGGAAATTGGCTAATGCACATCAGCAATCTTAAGTTCTCCAAGTTATATTTCTCACTTATTTTTGGCAGTTAGTTGACCAGGTGCTATTTCCAAGTAATTAATAGTACTTTTTTCTTTTCTTTTTTTATGTTTTACAGCATATTCTTTTCATTTAATATTTTGCCCATTCATTCATTGTTGCAATGAATTTTTCTCCCTGCCCCCCAGTTCACTTTTCTCTTTGAAAAGAAAAAAAAAATTCTTTCATTGTTATATAATACCCCTCCTCCAAGTTCACAGTCCACTATACTATGCATTTCTTTTTCTTCAATTTTGTCTGAAAATAATACCTAATCCTATATGCCTTTTAAACTTAATAATAGTTATTAGTAAGTTGTGATGGCATCAGTTAACAATCTTACTTTAGGAGACTTTACTGATATTTTATTTTTGTGCTACAGTATATAACATCTTTTTAAACTGTTGTGTATACTTGAAAAAAAAATATATTCTCTGTTTAAAATATACTTATAGTAACTAAATTGAGTGTGTAGAGAGATTGAAACTCTCATACACCAGGCTTCTCAGGAGAAAGACTGTTTCATGTAATTTATGGCCCCAGAATTCCAAAGAAGGGTCAGCTGTGAGTTATTTCTAACTCAATGACAATGAGTTAGAATCAACACTCTTGGTACCAACAGCCAGGAAATCAAGAGATGAATTGCATTGGGAAAGTCAGCTGTCAGGGACCACTCCAGAGTACTGAAGAGCAACGGCATCAGGCTGGAGACTAAGGTGCGCCTGATCCGGGCCATAGTCTTCACATGTTGAGGAGAGGGAGCACTGTAAACAAAAAGATAGTGTAATTCCTAGGAGATACGGGCACAGGTACTCAGCAATCAGAAACCATGAGTCAACTACAGGCTGCCGGTAGGAAAGGATTTCACCATATTGAATGCAGACCTTCCTTGCACTGTCTTCTCACAGAAATTCTAACACTTGAACATAAGGGATTGAGTTGCGGTAAATACATGGACCATGCATCTCATTTATTGTTTTCTAATGTACATAGGTGTGTTCCCATGATGTTGTTAGATGTCACTGAGGCGAGTAAAACTCATAGTGACCCTATGAACAACAGATCTGAACCCTGTTCTATCCTGCACCAACCTCACACTTCCTGACACAAAAGAGCCCATTGCAAGTCACTCTGTCAGTCCACCTGATCAAGGATTTCCTCTCCTTCACCAACCCTCCATCTTCCCTCCTTCACCAATCCTTCATCTTTCCTAGGATCATGTCCCTCTCCAAGGAATAGTCCCTCCTAGCAACATGCTCAAAGTATGTGAAGTAAAACCTTAATCTTGCATCCAAAGAGCACACCAGTGGCACCCTCTCCAAGACAGACATATTTGTTAGTTATTTTGGCCATCTATAGGATGTGTGTATCACAACAAACTGTGGTTCACTCTGAGAAGAATGGAAATCCCAGAACACTTGATAGTGCTAATGCGAAACCTGTACTTGGACCAAGAGGCAGTTGTCAGAACAGAGCAAGGAAACATTGCATGGTTCAAACTGGAAAGGGCATGTGTCCTGTCTCCATACCTTTTCAACCTGTATGCAGAACAGATTATCTAGGAGGCTGGGCTCTATGAAGAGAAAAGCAGCATCAAGATTGGTGGAAGATCTATCAACAATCTGCGTTACTCAGATGGCACAACCCTGCTTGCAGAAACTGAGGAGGACCTGAAGCGCTTGCTGCAGAGGGTCAAGGACTGCAGTCTTCAAAATGGATTGAGGCTCAATATCAAGAAGACAACGGTTCTCACCACTGGACCAACTGGCAGCATCAGGATGGATGGTGAAGAGATTGAGACTGTTAACAGCTTTAGTCTGCCTGGCTCCACAGTCAACACTCTTGGCACCAGCATCCAGGAAATTAGAAGACATATTGCGATGGGAAAGTCTGCTGTTAGGGACCTCTCTAAAGTACTGAAGAGCAACGGTGTGTCTCTGGAGACTAAGGTGCATCTGATACAGGCCATGGTCTTTGCAATCACTTGTTATGCATTAGAGAGTTGAACAATGACTAGGGAGGATAGAAGGGGAATTGATGCCTTTGAGCTGTGGTGCTGGAGAAGAGTTTTGAAGGTACCATAGACTGCTAAGAAAACAGATTCATCCTGGAAAGGGTTAAACTGGGCTGCTTCTTGGAGGCAAGGATTCTGGGGCTTCATCTGACATATTTTGGTCATGTTTTAAGGAGAGACTGGTCCTTGGAGAAGGACATCATGCTTGGGAGGGTGGAGTGCAGGTGCAGGAGGGGAAGGCCCTCTATGAGGTGGACTGTTTCAGTGACTGAGGTAATTGGGATGGGTATGTTGGAGACAGTGTGATTGGCACAAGACAGCAGAGTTTAGGGCTGTTGTACATAGGGTTGCTATGAGTCGCAACAATATGGGATGCTCAGTGCTCTTCTTCAACACCACAGCTCAAAGGCATCAATTCTTCTGTCATCCTTATTCATGGCCCATGATAGCTTGGATGATATTTATCAATTGTATAGATATGGATGCTATACCACAGATTTATTTTCCCTTCTAAAGAAATGGTATAAATTGTAGCACAGAAAATGAAGTTAGCTTATATAGTCTTGTGGTCACAAAGGAGGCATATTTCTTTTCATCTAGATTTTCGTAGTAGATTTGGGACTGTGGAATCATTTTACATACCTACCTATACCTGGAACTCTGGTAAACTAGTGATCAGGCCTACTGATAAACCTAGTGGTAAGGAGTTGTGCTGTCAACCCAGATGCACATAGTTTGAATCCACCAGTTGCTCCATGGGATAAAGATGGGCCATCTCTTCCTATGTGATTTATTGCCTCTGAAAACCCACTGGAGGGTCAGCCATGGGTAGACTCCAACTTGATGGTACTTAACAACAACATATGTACACCTGAGTATCTCATGTGCCGTGGATTGTACTGTATATACCTGCAGCCATTTATTTTTTAAAAGAGGGAAGGAGTAGGATATTTACTGATGGGGATTGTAGATTTAGGGCTAAGTTGGGGGGAGTAGGGAGGGGAAGAGCTTTGAAACTGACATTTGGTGCAAAGATCATCATCATAGTTCTTGTCATACTATTTAAAACTGAATTTAATTAAAATAGCCAAGAGAAAAATCATACAATATCAAATTAATAGATACAAGAGCATTCAAAGGATGTGTTTAAATAGTACGTTTAACTAAAATAATAAGCTCAACCTGAAAAAGAAACTAACTCCAGAACCCATCAGTTCACACAGGACCCATCTACAGGTCAGCGTGTGCTGGACCACCAGGTCCTTCCTGCTGAGTGACCACATCACTAAATGGTTCCTTCTAAGGATCTCGTGCCTGGATTGACAAGGAAAAGGCCAAAGGCAAAGTTCATATTCATTTTTGGCAGCTTAAGCTCAAAACGTCTAGTACTGAAAGCCAACTGAATTCCCTAAATCGTTTTCAAACTTGCTGCTGACAAACTACATCTTTTCCCATCTTATACTGTGCAAGTTTTTGTATTTTCAGTCCAAGAGTGGGGCTTTATTTTTCCTGCTAACACATGATCTGGTTCATTATTTCAGCCTTTTGCTATCCAGATTCTGTAATAAAGTGCATTTGCTTCGCCTCCAGATTTCTGGGACTTGTGCAGGGGAGGGAGTGCTAGCAGTGGACTCTCTGGGGGCCAGCGGCAAGGGGTCTTCACAGTGCTGTTCTCAGGAAGTTCAGACTTGTTTACAAAATGAGGCAGGCTAAGAAGCAAGGGGCCTGCTAGAGTTACCAACATGAGCCTTCCTCCTGTCAGAGCTGTTTTATTGCTGCCAATATTGTTTTCTTCTTTAGCTGTTGATCAACATAAAGAATTGAAGAGCGGAAAGAATATTTTCTGTCCAATATTATGTTAATAGTAAGAACTATAGCAAATGGTTGGAAATTTATAACAGAGAAGTTCATGCTATCTCTCCACTCCCTACTCACTGTAATTTCAATAGAGAACAAAGAATATATATCATTCCTGACCCACAGTACCCTGGAGAAGTGATAAGGCTGGCCACCTGGACACGTCGTTGTAAAAAGAGAAGACTGAGGAAAATCATTCCAGTAAGTCTTCTCAACATAGTATCACCTCACACACAAGGAACTAGAGAGTAAAATAATGTTGAAAAATAACTTCTAAAGTAAAAATGCCACCCCTATTCATATTTCCATTAGGTCAATTATTACTTTCTGACAAAAAAAAAAAAAGCTTTTTACTGATGAAAAAAAAATGCTTCTAAATGGTATAGCACTGGTCTATCAATTTGCTGTAAAGAGGTAACTGGTTGCTGTGATGCCGAACACTCTGACACTGATGTATCAACAGTGATAATGGTTACAAATGGTGGACAGTGTTTGGTGGAGCTCCCTGATTAAAACAGGCTGAGAAGCAGGAATGGCATATACTTCCAAAATAGCTTGCCTCTGCAAACTCTATGAACTTAGAGAAATGATGAAAAGTTATACGTGTTCAGGACTTTCATTCATGGGGTCTCTATGAGTCTATGATTCGATGGCACTAAACAACAATATAAATGGGGGAAAAAAGACACACACAACTGAAGACAATCTCATTCTCCTTTATTGAACAGTAACCCACACCCAATATTTACATACGTAATTAAACAGATTTTAAAATACTAGCATGTGAAACATTTTAAAAAATTAATCTGAGACCATTTTAACAGGAATCATCAATTCATGTGTTTTAATACAATAAATGGAATTTGTTACTTCTATGCCAATATCCAAGATGGTTCATTTCACAAAAGTCATATTTTCAGAAGATATAAGTTGAAGGAAATATAAAAAAGTCAAAAAATATTTCCGTATCTAGTCATAATCTTCCAATTTTTCTGCAAAAGAAATCAATATCGATTATAGATGTTCTGGCCAGTATAAATTAAATATGCAATCTCAACTGTGTATTTTCTTGAATGTTATAATTCACTTTTTGCATAGAATGTTATTCTTTTATCATATTTTCAGCATAAGTTTAAATAGATTCCTCATCCTAGGAAGAAAGACACAATGCACACTTAAGATCAGCACCTAAATATAACTTTAAAAGTAGCAGCAAGGGATGTGGTGACTCTTTTACTGACTCTTCATTCTAGAAGGAGAAGAACATGGACAAAATCAGAGAGGAGCCCTCCAACCAGGGCTAAGTGTGACTGTTATGGAAGCTGGCTGCTGTTAAGAAGGTATTGGAAACTTGGTGCTTTACACCTGCATGCCTGAATATGCTGACTAAGAAGGACCTAATTTCTATAAGAAACAACTTTCTCTAAACACATGAGAATTAGGGAAATACACAAGATGAGAAGATGGGACAATATTTCTCAATCTGTGCAAATGACCGATACACCTCTCTGGTTTTCTGCGAACAAGCTACCCTTTTATTATATTGAATTAAATAATTACAGTATTGTTTTATCTTTAAATAGTATCATTTGTGTTATTAAAAATCCTGTTTCCCTTCCCCAAGATTCTTCACAATGCCCTATGATTATACTTTTAAACAACTAGGTATTAAACTTAGGACACCTAATCCTATCGATGCATTCTGAACCATTTTAAAAAATCCCAAATAAATCAGTGTGCCAGAGATAGGAACTTCTGTATGAAATCTCTGAAACATTAACTTAATAATATTTGATGGAATTAATTTATTCTAATATAACATTGTGAAAGGGGTAAGTATGTATAACTTAAAAATGATAATGAACAAATAAAATTTTTATCCACTATTTAAAACACATTTACCTGCAAAATAAGTGTTGTGATATTGGTAGTGCAGTCAGTTAATCACTTAATGACTAATAGAAAATAGTTCAAACCCACCCACCAGTGTCTTGTTGCAGGTCTGGTCAACTACTTCTAAAATACCCCAGCTTTGAACACGTAGTGAGTATGAGTTGGAATCGACTATTGCTGCTAACTTATTGCTGGTAGTGTTGTGTGGTTTTGGAATTTTGTTTTGTTTTGTTTTTAAGTAAAAATCTCTATTATTTACAATAAATAGATCTCCTATTCAACAAAGTAACTTTTGCCCCAAGTAATATAAAGGCAAATTTCAGAATGTTATAAATCACTGAAGTCCATATTAATTGTGCATTTTTAAATAACATAAATCACTCCTACTCATGAACATTTGTATCAAGCCAATACAAATAGAGAAATTCGTGTAACAGTTGGAACTACAGTTTAACATGTACTTGCCATCTAAACCAAGACAGAGAGTATCTTTACTTATTATTCAATGTTGATATATACACCAGATTATCGAAATATATGCTAGGCAAGTTTTTATTAAGTGTGAATTCTATTTATGAAGTCTAAATTTGGCTCTGCAAAATTCACCAAATTAGAACACATTAAACAATTTTGGTCCTTAAGAGTACACTAACATCATGAGCACATGAGCCTCCTCAAAATGCAAGCATACCTACCTATGCGATCAATAGTTGATCATTTTTCGAAGGGCATCATAGCACTTCCATTTGTCAGGGATGTAAAATGGTTCAAAAATATGAGGAAATGGTGTGTCATACCCACATACTCTGGATATAGGAGCCTCTAAGTTCAAGAAACATTCTTCCTGCACACAAGAAGATAGATAATATAAATACTAGAATAGTCCTTATAATTTACAGATAAAATATTTACTCCTAAAATAAGTTAACTTCAAAAGTTTAACTTGCATTCAAGAGCAATAAAATATTTAAATATGTATTTTAAAGTGAGAAAAGCAGAAAACAAATAGTATAATTAGCATGATTCCAATTTCTTTTATGCTTTCATTTATATATATATACACAGAGACACACATACATATCATATGCATTTCAGATTTTCATGTTACAAGAAGTTCATATGAATGTAAAACATAATAAAATCACAGCAAAATGGTAACAATTATTAACTCTGTGGCTTGAAATTATTAAATTAGTGGTGTGCTATGCTTCCTTATATTTTACAAATATTTCACAATGAGCTTATATGCTCATTTTATTTTTAAAGTTCAATAAATAAATAAATCTTCATAAAAAATACTTTTAATTGCTCTCCTCTCCAACCAGACTGAACTTCTGTCAATGACTTGACTATCTTGGTATCTGTCTCTCTTCTCTTTGTTGTTGTTAACTGCCATCGAGTCACCTACAAGTCATAGTGACCTGAAGCCTGCTCTGTCCTGATCCAGTTTCACTGACTCCAACACACCTATACCTACTGCCCTAGTTATGCTATCAACCTATGTCAGCTGGGGTCTTCCTGTCCTGCCTGTCCCTCTACATTTCCAAGAATGATATCCTCCTCCAAGGACCCATTCCTCTGGGCCACGTGGCCAAAGTATGTGAGATGGAGCTTCAAAATCCTAGCCTCCAAGGAGAAACTTGGTTTCACTCACACCAAAACAGACCTATTTGTTTTCTTTGCAGTCCATGGTATGTTCAAGACTTCAGCACCACAATTCAAAGGTGTTGATTCTTCTTCTATCATCCTTAGTCATTGTCCAGCTCTCTGATGTATAGCAAGTAATTGTGAAGACTGTGGCCTGGATACGGCATACCTTACTCCGGAGAGATCCCTAACAGGAGATTTTTCCAGTGCAATTTGTCTTTTGATTTCCTAACTGCTGGTGTCAAGAGCATTGACTGTGGAGCAGAGCAAGCTGTAATAGGTAACAATCACGATCTCTTCTACATCTATCATGGTGCTATCAACTGGCCCAGTGGTGAGAATCTCTGTCTTCTTGATGTTGAGCTCCAATCCATATTGAAGACTACTGTCCTTGACATTCTACAGCAAGCACTTCAGGTCCTCCACAGTTTCAGCAAGCAAGGTTGTATATCATCTGCATGATGCAGGTTGTTGATGAGTCTTCCTCCAATCCTGATGCGACATTCCCCCTTGTAAAGCCCAGCCTCCTGAAAGATCTATTCTGCATATAGATTGAAAAGGTCTGGAGCTAGGATGCATCCCTGATGCACTCCTTTCCTGATTTTGAAACATGCAGTATTTCTTGCTCTGTTCTGACAACTGCTTCCTGGTCAAAGTACAGGTTTAGGACAAGCACAATCAAGTGTTCAAGAATTCCTGTTCTCCTCAAGATTAGCCACAATTTGTTGTGATCCACACAATCAAATGCCTTTGCATAGTCAATGAAACACATTGACGTTCCTCTGGTCTTATCTGCTGTCTGCCAAGATTCATCTGAAATTGATGATAATGTTTTTTAGTGACATGATCTCTTCTAAACCCAGCTTGTATTTCTGGTAGTTCCCTGTTGATATACTGTTCCAGTCATTTTTTAAATTATCTTTAGCAGGATTTTGCTTGCATGTGCTATCAGTGATATTGTTCAATAATTTCCACACTCTGTTGAGTCACTTTTTTTTGGAATGGGAATCACTATGGATCTTTTCCAGTCAATTTGTCAGGTTGTTGTTGTTGTTATGTGCTGTCGAGTCATTTGAGACTCATAGCGACCCTATGTACAACAGCCCTAATCCCTGCTCCATCTCTTACAAACCTTACTGTCTCTGACATACCTATCCCATTACCACAGTGATGGAATCAATCCATCTCATCGAGTGTTTTCCTTCCTTCCCTGTGCTGTCCCTCCACCATCCCAAGCATGACATTCCTCTCCAAGGACTGATTTCGCCTTGCAATACTGGCCAGGTAGTTGTACTAAAAATTTAATGGCAAAATCTGGTGAGCACATCCATGGTAACATATTTGTTGAAATCTGTCAATTGGAAATCCATCAATTCTTGGGGTCTTATGTTTTTGCCCAAGTCCTTCAGAGAAGACTGCACTTCCTCCTTCCTCACCATTGCCTCTCGATCATATGTTGTTTCTTGAAATTCTTCTGTGTCACCCAATGCTTTTTGGTACAGTGACTCTGTACTCCTTCTATCGTCTTCAATCCATGCTTCCCGGATAGTTCAATATTCTGTCCACAGCACCCTTAACAAGGCTTGAATTTGTTTTTTAATTTCTTCAGCTTAAGAAATGCAAGAAGAGTTCATCCTTTTTGATTTTCCGACTCTAGCTGTTACACATTTTATTGTAATACTTGGCTTTGTCTTCCCTTTGAAATCTTCTCTTTAGCTCCTTAATTTTTTTTTTTTTTAATTTCTTCTCTTGCTTTGGCTTCTTGGTGCTCTAGTGCATTATTCAGAGTCTCTTCTAACATCCATTTTTGTCCTGTTTTCTTCCTCTGTCTTTGAAATGACCTTTTGCAGTCTTCTTGGATGATATTCTTGATATCCTCTCACAGCTCAACTGGTTCATTAGTATTAAGGCCTCAAACTGTTCCTGAGTTGGGTTTTAAATTCAGGTGGGATACACTCAAAATAAAATTTTTTATTTCTGTGGGTTTGATCTGACCTTCTTTAGCTTTAATTTGACCTTGCATATAAGTAGTTGATGGCCTGTTCCACCTGGCCTACTTCTCTCATGGCTGATATTGAACTTCTACACAACAAATCCTTCCACAGATGAGATTCCTAGATGTACTACCATCAGATATAATTTGTGTATAGCCTGTGTTTATGTTTCTTATAAAATGTATTTGCAATGACTAAATCATTGATTTTGCAGAATACTATCATTCTAGTCCCTCTAATTTTCTCTCACCAGTCCGTGCTGTTGTTGTTGTTATGTGCAACTGAGCTTCTGTGACGTATAGTGACTATATGTAAAACATCTCTGAACCCTGCTCTATAATAAACCAATATCATTGTTTCTAACACACCTATGCCCAATACCCCAGTCAATCTATCTCAATCAGGGTCTTTTCTCTCTTGTGCTGGTCCTCCCCCCTTTCAAGCAAGATTTCCCTCTCCGAGGACTGGTCCTTTGTCACAACATGCCCAATGTATGTGTGACAGGGTTTCAAAATCCTTGTCTTCCCAAAATAAGCTCAAACTCAGAGACCTGGGAGTAAATCCCAAAATTATAAAGTTCATCAGAGGCAAACTGGAATTAGATGGACTAATTTATGATATAAAAAGACTGCTAAATACAGCTACAAATGCCTCTGGAGAGGTTAAAATTGATGAATGGGACCTTCTAAACATTAAAATCCCTGGGCACATAAAAAACATTTGGGGC